GGGGGCGTAGGGAGATTGACTGTGTCTCTGGTGGCTAGAGGGGAAGCAGAGTGTGGTCGTAATTAGAAGTACTGAGTTCAAGAAGCCATGGGGCAGCCAAGTGGAGAAGACCACGGGAACTGGGCCTTGTGAGCAAAGGTCAAGAGGGGCCAGGCCACCTCGGGGCCTGGGGTCAGCCACAAGAGCCACCAGGGAAGTCCTCTGCCCCCTTCCTTGTTTCATTCTAAATTGGTGCCCCAGGGTGGCATGGCCAGCACTCAGGGTGGACACATTGAACCTATGTGTGATCAGAAGAGTTGGGCCACTAACCTAATGGAATCCATGAGAGTGAAGAGAAAGCGGAGAACAGGACCCGAGGTACAGCCATGGGAACCTTGAAGAGGGGGGCCTGGAGGAAGAAGCCTGTCTCGATTCCACATCCCCAGGCAACCTTGAGCTTGTTGGACAGGTGTCCCTGACACTGGTGCAGTGGGAGGGGCATGTGCCCTGCCAGGACCAGGCAGCCCGGGGCGGGGAGCTGAGCCCTCCCAGACACGGCTGTGGAACGTGAGTCTCCCGCTGGCCTCTTCTCCATCTCCCAAGTTGGCCTTTGAGGCCATTGGCTTTTTTGGTCTCCTTGCCCATCCATCGTGCCTTTTCCAAGGTTCCTGTGCATTCTGCATCCAGCCCTGGCTGGTACTTTCAGCTCATTTGTCATCTCCAGGTTACAGAAAGGGGGCAGCTCTTTCTTCTCCTTTCTTAGTAGCTATAAGCCTGCCCTAAGCTGGACTCCTGCGACTTCTGCCATAGGGGCTGGCCTTTCAGACCTGAGGAGGGTTTTGTCCTTTCTCTGCTCCTGGAACCCATCTTAACCTTGGCTTGTCGACCTCACCACTACGTGTAAAAGTAACTCCAGAGTTGTTAACTCTTTGTTGTTGTTCCTTAGAATCGATGCCCCAGATCGTGGCCCCTGCGGGCGCCTCAGATACAGAACTCAATGGAGCTGGAGACGTGGGGACCCTCAGCCTGGAGACGGAGGTGCAGCACTTCATCGACGTACGTACTTGCTGCATCGGGAGATGAGTGTCTGCCTTACCGGCGGTATCAGCTCAGATACAAACTGCAAAATCCTCGCCGCCCGCCGTGTGGGCCCCGACTGGCAGGCTGGGTAGCCCCTGGAGCGGTTAGAACGCAGACCGCCGGCCCCGCTCTGCTAAGCCCGCCCCAGTGGTTCACAGCTATGAGCACTCAAGTCTGAGAAGAGCCGGCCCAGTGATGCCCTTGAACTGTGTCTGCAAAGCCCTGATTTGTTTTCCCCGAAGTTGTTACACTGCACAGCCATTCTGTCTAGCTGGCCCTACACGAAATGGTTGAGAAAGTCACATTTTGTCATCCGAGCCTTAATCCTCCTTGGACAGCCGCCCAGGAGCGGCTAACGCCATCTTCCTGTGCTGCCACTGCTCCGGCTTCCTGACGTGACTGTCCAGTGTCTGTCCCCCGGGGCTGCCTCACCTTGTGTTGGGGCCGCCTCCCTTGTTAGCTGAACCAGCGTCTCATTGCTAACTTCACAATTGCACGTGGATCAATAAGAGTTAAACTGAGCCTGGTCAATTTTCAGAGCAGGTTTCTAGTTTTCTGGGCCTGTGTTTACTAAGAAACAAAACTGGGCAATTAATCTGTAACTTTTGAGAACCAACTGTATACACAACCACCAATAGCTAATACTTATTGTTCTGACCCTGCCTGGCACTGTTTTAAACACATCTTGTATTGACTGATTTAACCTTCCGATAACTCTAAGAGGTGGGTACTATTATCATCCCCATTTTACAAGTGAGGAAATTGAGAAACAGAGAGGTTAAGCAACTTGCCCAAGGCTACACAGCTAGGCAACAGTGCAGCAGGAATACCAAGCCAAGCAGTCTGGCTCCAGAGTGCATGCACTAACCACACACTATGCTGCCTGCCTCACATGCAGGACCAGTCGCTATAGATGAAGAGCCCCAAAATGACGACATGCAACAGTCCAGCCCTCTCAGTTTGGGGGAGGTCTAAAATATATTCGTGTTATACCACGTAGAATTCTCAGACTGAGTGGTACACAGGAGGTGCGCTTGGTTTGGGCCCCATCGGTTCCCCTGATGAACTGGCTGTGTCTCTGATGACAAAGTGACACGGAGAAAGACGCAGGGATCCCCCACACACATCACAGCTTGCACATCTCTTGCACTGGTCAGGCCCAGATCCTCGAGGCGCGGCGCGTAGGTTCTGAGTGTGCACGGGGTTGCTCCAGCGGTGGGGGGCACCTCCCTCCTCCCTTCTCCTCCTCACTTTTCTTGCACAGAACTCAGGCTTCACTGACTGCGTAGATACTTTAGTCTCCTGTCCGACGTGCAGGGTCTGTCCGCCCTCCTGGTGACCCGGGCTCACTTGCTCTTTCAGGATCTGCCTGACTTGGAAGATGTTGATACCGGCGAACCTTTGGAAGACCCGGACAAGGTCATCTCACGCGTCCTCCCGCTTCAGCGTCATTCCTCCTTCCCTCCCAGTCTTGTCACTGACAAAGCGCATCTCCTGGACTTGAGAGTGGGATGCTCTGTGACGACCGCACTGCACCCCGTTTTCACCTGACAGCTCTTGGCTGTTGCTCTTCTTTAACATTTTATGATTAACCACTCGGGTTTTCTTGGACGTTTTGTCACTCATGTTTAATAACTATGTACTCTACATAATTACCTGACAACATTTCTTTGTCCTTGGGATGTATTTAAATACATGTGGCCAGGTTAGGCTATGCTAGCCAGAGGCCAAGGCTCAGAGGTGGGCCTGTTCAGGGGCCCATGGGTGTTGGTGTAGTGGGAACAGCGTGGGCAGAGGGGGTGCAGCGTGGAGACCCAACAGAGCGTGGGGAAGGAGTGCAGCCATAGAGCTCACCACGACCTTGGGGGCTCAGAAACGGCTGGCCAGGCACTGCCCATGCTGGGGCCTGACTTTCCCAGGGCAGACGGCTGTGTCCCCTCGGCCTTTCTTGTATGTGGCAACAGAATATTCTGCGATAGATAAAATCACAGACTTAGCATTGTGCATTTTAGAGTGACTATTGTGAAAACAGAAATGTTGGAACACGCCTTTTTTCCTTTTAACAGAAGATGTGCTTTCCAAAGATTACAGCCATCTCGGGCTTGAGTGATGACAGTGACTCTGAGCTGGACCGCACCTCCCTCCCACTGCTGGAAGACGCGTCCACGGACACCCTGTCAAACATATTCGCCATCTCCAAGGACACCTCCAGGAAGACTGAGCTGCCCTTTCTGGACATAGTCAAAGCAGCAGCAGAGGGGGACTTGGGGATGCAACGCGGAGACACCAAGTCCTCACACCCACTGGTCCAGGAGCTTGATGACCACGGGCCTTCAGAGCCACCACCGACGCCCACGACCTGCCAAAGGGACACATCACCCCCCTGCACTGAGGACGGGGACAGTGACCTACTTTCAGCCTCTCCTCCAGGTAATGCCACTCTGCTTTCAAGATCACAGGGGCCGAAAGCTCTGAGAGTGGGGAAATGAACTGTCTACTCCCCAAACCCAGAGGGGGGCCTCTGCCCTTGGAATCCCGTGTTCTCAGAGAGGGCCATTCATGACGGACATGGAGGCCGCTGCAGATCACGCTCCCAAGTTCATGCCTCTTCAAGGCTGCCACTTGCCGGTTGCTGGCCTGGGCCGCCGCATTCCCGGCGGGCAGTGGGCATCGCCAGGGCTGCTTATGGCATGCGGATCTTGGCCATTTTGTTCAGCAGGTCCAGGCAGGACTAGGGAGCCTGTGTTTCACCCCCTTCCTCCCCCTCCCCATCCTTAGCCTTTCCAGACCAAGGCTTCTGAGGGGGGGAGGGGACCGGTGAAAGGCTGAGAATGTGGGACAAAACAAGGGCCAGAGCTAGGCTGAGGGTACGGGTCCTCCACGTGAAGGTCCAGGATTTGGAGGAATGACATGCGAGACGCCGCTGGCAGGGAAGGGAGGGTCCCCAGGCAGGGCGCCTGACTGGGTGGGACGAGTGAGGCCACAGGCTGGCCCATCAGCCTGGCCCGTGCTTGGGGCCCGTGCACAGCTGCCTTGGGGGGTCCCCATCAGGGCGTGTGCTGAACAGCCGTGCCTGTTCTCACCCAGCACTAGTCGGCACCAGATTTCTTTCTGAAGGCCAGCTTGCGTGGTTGACTCAAGGCCTGCACCTGGGAAGAGATGAGGGGTGAGCAATTTCCCAAGAATAATGAGTTATCTTCTCTCCTGACTCTCTAGGAAACGGCACTGAAAAGGATGAAGCACAGCCTGAGACGGAGCCCAAGGAGCTGGCAGAGCCCGAGGAGCTGGCGGAGCCCGGGGCGGGAGCAGACCGGGAGGACATTGAATTTGGCTTGGACTGAACCTCAAGGGAGTCCCCGCCCTTGCACTAATGGACAGGGAGCCGGCGGCTGGGCCAAGGCCTGACCCCCGACCCCTGCGTGCAGGTCACCCCCTGGCTGGGCTCCCTTTCCTTCCAAAGAGCGGCAGCTCCTGCGAGCGCTCGGCGCCTCGGCTGTGACACGTGCCCAAGTTGCACGGCTCACTTTCCTGCTCTGGCAGCCTCTGCTAGTGTGGGACAGCGCTGTGTTCCTGATTCTCCAAGCATAACCGACTCCCTGGTTGTCTGCTATAAATTGTATGCTGCAATGTCTCATTTGAAAATTATACAAATTTTAGTATCCATGGCAGATGACGTGTTATTGGGTTATTTCACATCCGTGTGAGTCACGTGATTCTTTTCATCCCCTGCCCTGAGAAAGACCCACTCCTCTCTCCCCTGCGATGAGGAGCCTCTCTCAGATCCTGTGCCCGCTATGATTCTGAGGGCGTTCCCCTCGCAGGAGAGCAGTCTCCCGGCAGAGCTGCAGAACCACGGAGGAGGCGCACTCTATGCATTAGACAGCAAAAGCCACCGAAGGGCACGCCACCCAGTCTAAGAAACTTGATCGTCCACAACCGTGCTCAGCTGACAAGTTTATTCGGTCCCTGAGTGCAATCCACAGCGTCTCCCTCTACGAAACCTTAGACCACAGCAGACACTGCCCAACACACACAAACCAGCCGCCAGCGGCTGCCAACTCCCACCGAGCGCCGCCCCCGCAGCTCCCCCGTGTCTCATTTCACGTCCCCGGCCACGGCGAGGAGCTAGCACTGTCACCCCGACGTCAGCAGGGTACACGGAGACCCCAGCTCGTGTGCAGGGAGCCCCTGCTGTCAAGCACAGCCCTGTCTCCTGGAGGGAATCCCAATGACACTGACCTCAAGGACTGGACCGCGAGGGCGTTTCCAATGTGCCTGTGGAAGCGCCTCCAGGCAAAGGTGCAGACGACAAGAGGAACTGCTGTGTGGTTGTCCCCAGTCCTCTGACTTGGCTCCAGGTCATCTTTGGACGCCTCCCACAGGCACGATGGCCTTCAAAAGGAGAAAGGTCTGCACCCTGGAGATGCTTCTCTTTTTGTTTCCTAAGCTTCAGTCACGAAGACACAGCTGGTGCAGGACCAAGGCCTCCCTGGAGGAGGGGCAGCAGCTTCCCTGGGCCCTCAGAAGCCCATGCGGGGCTTCTTCCGGATTCTCTGAGAGCCAGAGAGGACGGGAGTCTGCTGCCTGGAGGGAGTGGCCTGGATGCTGGAGGTCTGGGAAGAGGGCACAAAGGCACCTTCTGGGGTGTCCCTTTGGAGTGGTGGCTTGGCTGTGTTGTCCTGGAGGGTCCGCTGCCTGGAGCGGGTGGCCCAGATGCTGGAGGTCTGGGAGGGGGGCGCAGAGGCACCTTCTGGGGTGTCCCTTTGGAGTGGTGGCTTGGCTGTGTTGTCCTGGAGGGTCCGCTGCCTGGAGCGGGTGGCCCGGATGCTGGAGGTCTGGGAGGGGGGCGCAGAGGCATCTTCTAGGGCGTCTTCTCGGAGCGGGAGCTTGGCCATATAGTCCCGAAGGGTCTGCTGCCGCTCCGAGGGGACGCCCCGGGCCCAGTGCTCCTGGGCCAACTCTTGGGAGGGTGGGGTCCCTGGGGGCCGAGGCCGGGCCTCAGGGTCTGGGCTGGGAGGAGGGCTGGTCACGTCCGAGAGCTCCAGGCGGCCACTGAGCGAGGAGAAGGTGCTGGAGAGCTGCGTGCGGCGCTTGTGCCGCTTGGGCTGCTGCCTGGGCCCTGAGCTCCGGCCCTGCCGCCTCTCCCACCAGGCAGCCGCCTGGCCTTCCCAGGCCGCCTCCAAGCGTTTGCTGAGCTCATCGTCGGGGCCAGGCTCTGGGGCGGGGGGCGGCTCTGCAGTGGGGAGCGAGCCCAGGTCCCTCTGCTGCAGGAGCCGTCCTTCGGCCATGGCAGCCCGGAGACCCTCTGGCACTTTCCCCTCAACTTCCCTCTGCTCCACACAGCCCAGCAGACGGCGGTGGGAGAAGGTGGGTGCAGCCCACACAGGGGGAGCTGGGGGCACCTCCAGCAAGGCCTTCAGCCACTGGCTGCAGCAGGCAGTGGCCTGGGGGCTCCAGGAGACTGTAGGGGCACAAGAGTCAGGCCCAGGGTCTGCCTGGAGGCGGAGGCACTGGTGGAAGACATCTCCAGCTGCCGAGAGTTGGAAGAGCGACAGGATTGGCGTGGAGGTGGAGGGTGGGATGGCGGCAGCCAGACCTGGAGATGGGAATGACAGTGACCCCAAGGCCTGCCAGGGGGGCAGCTCCCCAAACTTCCCCCCGACCCCAGCACACCTATGGTTGGCGCTTTCAGACGCTCCTGCAGCCGCCACTGACTCTTGGGCTCCAGCACGGGGAATGCGGAGAGGGAGTCATTCCTGGAAGGGAGAGACTGGGGGGGCCCTGCCAGCCGGGGTGTGGAGGCCTCCTCTCCTGGAGGAAGGACACACAACTGAGGCCCTGTCCAGGCCCCGGCCCTCCCATCTCCCCGTGTGCCCCCGCCCTTGCTGGGACCCTCACCAGTGATGTGCAGCAGCTGCAGCTGCCCGTCCTGGCCCCCCAGGAGCAGCGGCCGTGGGCAGCCGGGCCCGGGCGGAGGCAGCAGCCGGGCCAGAAGGGGAGCGGAGGGGAGGCCGTGGTTCCACTTCAGCATCGGCACCAAGGGGAGGCGCTCATCCACCAGGTAGAGCGAGAACTGGGCGCACGAGGAAGAAGCAAGATGGAGGGGACGTGACTGAGGTGTGAAGAAGTGTCTGACGAGACACATCTCTCTGGGTAGCCCCCTTGCCACTCAGGATGAGTGCAGACTTCTGAGTGCCCACAGCACTCTGGGACCGGCCCTGAGCCTCTCCAAGGCCACCGGCTGGCCCGCACAGAGGGCAGGTCGCAAGTGGGCCTGCCTATCATTCATGCCAACGCCAACATGGGGAGAATGGCTCTCAGGAGAGGCGCAGAGGAGTCTCGTCCCAGAAGAACCCACCTGGCTCTCACCCAGCCCTCCCCAAACTCATCCAACCCTGGGACCCACGCTTGAGGCACACCGACTCTCTGGCCAGGGTCTGAGGGGGCAGGGCCGGGGTGGACTCAGACCTCCTCCCCTTGTCCTGAACACACCGGGAACTGTCCCGCTTCGCACAGACCACTCCCCCTGCCTGAGGCCCTTCCTCCTGCACCTGCTCTGCCTCCAGTGGCACCTTAAAGCCCTGGTCAGACATCACCTCCCGGGAGGCCTTTCCCACCTGCCAGTTAGCATGTTTCAGCCAGACTCAGCAAGGGTTTTGTGATTCTTGTTTCACCTGCGGGTGTCCCGGGTTTGTCTCTAGTAACTGCCTGAGGCGTGCACGGGGCAGAGGAGGGCAGGAGTCACTCACCTGGGTACAGATGAGATGGAGCGTGGAATGCAGAGACTCGGGGCTGCCCTCCCCCAGGTACTGGGTCAGCAGCACACGTTCCCCTTTCTGGCAGGATGCCTCTGCCCCTCCACGAAAAAGCAGCAGACCACAGCCCGGCGGGCCCTGGGAGAGAAACTGGGTCAGCCCTCCCAGTCCGAGGTCAGGGGCACCATCCCCACCAGCAGGACTCATTGACCTGCTGCTTTTCATGCCCTCGGGGAGGTCCCTGCCCCAGCCCACTCCGTGTCTCTGCTCTGTCCTGCTGCTCTGCCTGTGACAGTCCCCACCCCTCACCTGTGTGTCAACAATTTTCACTCCAGTGCGGTCACCCACAGTCAGCACCCGAGGGTGGGCGGTGAAGTCTGCCCAACGCCAGGGAGAGGGGTCCCGGAACACAAGGGTGTCAGGGTCCTTGTAGACTCGCCGCAGCCTTGGGAGACAGGCCAGCCGTGAGCGGAGGACAGGCTGATGCGGGGGGAGGGGCCGGGCAACCTGGCCTGGGGCCAGCACATGTTGCGGGGGAGTGTGGGCTGTGCGGAGTTCACAGGGGAGCTGCTCGTTGGGGTGGAGGGTTTTTACGGGGAAGGGGCATTACCCATCCTGGGGGGTCCACAGACAGATGGCTCCCGAACGGCTGCAGACGGCCAGCTCCCCGGGTAGGTGAGGGCTACAGGGCACAAGTGTGACGAACGGTGGGCCACACCCAACCCCACCGCCCATCCCCTGCAGAGCAGCCCGATCCAGCGCCCTCACCTGAGGCTGATCCCTGTGGCCCCCTTCTCGACCTGCAGCACCTGGAGAGGCGCCGGCCGCCCCTGCCTGCTGACCTTCCACAGGGCACAGTGGTAGTCAGAGCGGACGGCCAACAGAGCTGAGGGGACGAGGGGACGAGAGGGTCAGGGTCAGGCAGCGGGTCAGTCAGTGAGGGAGGGTGGTATCTAAGGCCTTACATTCTCCCTGCACAGTTCGGGTCACCACCTGCCGGACAGGTCCTCGCAGCTGGATGTGGCCAGGGTCCCTGAGGACCTGGGGGTTACCACCTGGGGTCAGACTGACCTCTTGGAAATCTGAGCCTTTTGCTAAGGATAAGTGCATGAGCTCTAGTCATCCAGCCCCCCTGGACCACATGGAGAGTGCCTCCTCCACCAGAGGGAGCTGCTGGGATCCTGCCCAGTGAGAAAGGATACACAGCTTGTCCAGGGTGCTTCCCGCAGGGTAGACCAGCTGCCCAACCCGGGGTGTCTTCCCAGGCACCCAGGCCAGCGCGCCCCCAGTGAAAGCATCGTCCAAGAGCAGCTGCTCCCACCGCATCACCAGCTCCTCGTGCAGCAGGTCTCCCAGGAGGTTTGCCACCGACTTGCCCAGAATTGGGCCCCCGAGGATGGAGAACCGACGCTGCCGGTAGCTGAGGTAAGCCCAGGGGCACCTGGGATGAGAGCACAGCTGAGAGGCAGGCTGTCATGGCGATGGGAGGAGGACTGGCACCAGCCTCTGGGAGGCCAGGCCAGCAGATGCACTTTTTATCAACCTAGAATTTCTTCCTTTGGGAAACCCCATTCCTGTGCCGCAGGGGCAGTCACATGACCCAGATCTGGCCACTCAAGAGTGCTCCATTGCCCAGCCCACAGTGATTGGCTCCCAGATGGGCATGACACCCAAGCCAAGCCCATCATAACCTTCCTAGGACTTCTGCTGGTGCCTCAGGAAGGCTTCTGAGTCCTTCCTTGAAATCATAAACCATCTTGCTGTCACCTGCAAACAGTCTGCCTAGGAATTAAGCCAGGCACAGCCAAGAGGATGAGAACATAAAGAAAGATAGAGTCCTATTAACATTATTTGAACTCCTGGATGCAGCCATGCCTGTAGGCCATGAACTTAAATTCCCTTTTCCCCTTAGCCTAGTGGAGGTGTAGTTCTATATGAGAAAGTACAGATCATGACTGCACGGGGGGGAAGGAGGAACAACTGTGCCAGAAACCTAGATCCATGTCCCGGCTCCTTCCACGTCCCCACCGCCAGCTAGGCCTACCCATCCCATCCTTCCTCACTAGCCACTTGCCCCCAGGGCTGGTGTCCATCGAGGTCCTGGAGCAGCCTCTTCACACTGACCACTGTCGTCTTCTTAGAGCGGCTCTGCGTGGAAAGGCCTTGTCAAGCTCGCACACCCTAGGATTCACACCGACATGAAGTGGGGAGCCCCCCTCCTGGCTGGTCAGGGCTTACTCACCCGTGCTCCCTCCAGTTTGAAATTCTCCAGCATCAGCTTCCCCAGGGGTGCAAAGGCTATGTCCCCATGGTCCCACAGGAACCGGCTGAGCTGCGGGAGGAGAGGAGGCTAGGTCACTGAGCAGAGCCCCAGGTCACACAGCACTGTCCACTGTGGGGCCACGCACCTGTTCAGTAACATCCAGCACAACTCGGGGCTGTTTCTGGAACGGGTGACCTCCCCGGAAAAGCAGGTCCTGGGCAGTCAGACCAGGGTGCCAGGGATCTGAGGAAAGAGTGAGGTGAGGGAAGAGCCACGATGGGCCCAGAAACGGGGGAGGGGGCGAGAAGCGACACGAGGAGCAGCTTGGGAGGGAGCCCTGAGCACCAAGACCCTTACCAGGACCAGGAGGCAGCAAGGGAAGGGGCCCGGGGGTCTCCGGCTCCCAGAGAAGGCCCTTGGCCACGTGCGGCACCCCATTCTGAGGAAACACAACCACGACGACAACATAACAGTGAGGGCACTCCTGGGCCAGTGGTGTCACCAGCACTTGTCTTTATAACTCATTCAATCCTGCAAGGAGCCCACCAAGTTGGTACAACGGCCGCCTTACTTTATGGGTGAAGAAACGGCAGCACAGGGAGGCTGTCACTTGCTCCAGGCAACAGAAGGGCTGGGACTGGAACCCAGGCAGCCCAGCTCCAGTCTACACTCTGACCTCCAGGCCCCAGTGGCTCTCAGAGGGGACCCCTGCACCCAGACTGGGCCAAGCTGAACTCCAGTGACCCTCACTTCCACTCAGAAGACCTCATGGTCACTTGCTCAGAAAGCCCACTGGCCACCCTACTTCCCACTGCTGGGCCAGCCTGAGACGGCTCAGCTCAAACACTCAGAGGATGGATGAGCTGGCAAGCTGGGCTCCCGGGGGGCCGGATCTGATGTGAAGCCCTTCCTTGTCAAGGAAGCGCCCCTGCCCCACTCCCCTCGCCACCGCTGTCTCTCTTAATTTTCCACCCACTTGCCTCTGCCTGCCGTAAGCCTTGGCCAGCCTGTGTCCAGTGGCAGCCACATGGCTTAGGCTCCCAGGGAAAGAGCCAGTGTCCTTCCCATCCTGGGAGGTCTCCCCTCCCTGCCTCACCCCCGCTGTGCTGTCTCAGCATCCTTCTGGTTTCACTCAAAGCTATTATCAAACTTTGCAATGACTCTATCCTTTGGCTTGTTCAGCTGTCTGTCCTCAGTCAGCCTAACTCTAAGTTCCCCGGGGGCAGGGATCACGTCTGACATCTGCAAGCTGGGTGCCCTGGGGCTGGAAAGGCGCCTGGTATGGTGTAGGGGCTGTGCACTGAGTATCTGCTGAACAGACAGGAATGAAAGGCTGGGGAGAGGGAGGCAGGAAAGAGCAAGCCAGGAGCTCCCGCCCAGTAAACCCGCTGCAGATGGCAGGCATCCCATGCACCCAAAGGAGGGATTCTGGCTCTGCCTGTCTTGGCAGATTTGTGCTAATGCCACCCCACCATGTGCTCCTGCTAGAAAAGGGGACCGAGAGAAGGTGGCCACCCTGGAGCCGCCAGGGCTCTCCCCGCCACCTCACCTCGGAGTTCTGGGGCAGGGACTCCGGCAGGGTGAGTGCGTCTCTCCAGCTGCACATGAAGGACATGTCAGGGACATCGCTCAGACCAAGGGGGCCAGTCATGAATACTGTGGGGCGGAGGGAGCCGGGGAAGTCCATCCTGGAAAACAAGAACCACACATCCCTCTGGTCTTCTCAGAGACCTGAACCTGACAATGGTTTCCAGGGTTCCCGGGAAAGCAAAAGGTGCCCTAAGAGGAGTGTGCTTTCTTTGGGGAGGCAGATAATAAAGAATAAATCAACAGGTGACCTAATGCCAGATGGCAATAAGTGCTATGTTAAAACCAACCGACCAACCAGGAGGGAGGGATGGCAATGCGCTGAGGCTGTGGTTTCAGCAATGGTAGCCAGGGAAGGCCTCGCCGAGAAGGTGGCGTTTGCCACAGCCTGAACCTAATGAGGGAGAGAACTATGTGGACAACTGGGAAAAGGGTTCCTGGCAGAATGAACAGTGAGTGCAAAAGTCCTGGGGCAGGAAGTGCTTGAGAAACAAGGAGGCCACAGAACGAACAGGAGAGGGTAAGGGGATGAAGTTAGACAGGTGGCGAGGGGTCAGCTTCTGTCAAGCTCTCTGTACTATAACTACACATTTGTAGGCTACACATCATATGCCCCAGGCTACACTCCCAGGACTAACTCGAGTTCTCCCAAAGCCAGGGACTGAGTCTTATTCATCTTTCTTCCTGCTGTCAAGTACGTACCTTCCAAAAATGCACCTTCTGGTTGTTGAATCAAACTAAACTTAGGGCTTTGGTAAACACAAGGTGCTCTAGAAGCACAAGCAGGCATAGCAGCTCTCTTTTCTATTAACCCCAAAAATGACAACAGCACTCGCTTACTGAGCGCCAGCATCGGGAGCCACAGTGCCACATGCTTTATTCTCCTATTGCTCCCGGTTTTGGAGTTCAGGAAACTGAGCGACTTGCCCAAAGCCAACAGCTTGATTCCGATTCAAAGGCCGGCCTCTGGACCACTGCTCCCCGTGCATCCAAAACAAACACGTGCCTTAGTGTCCTGGTACGCAAAAAATGTTCCCTTTGGCTCTCCTGCTCTTTCGTCAGTTTATCCTGTAACCCCCACACACCCATGCACCTCAGCACCGCGCAAAGTGCACATCACGCAGGAAATGCCAGTAAACACTTGTCAAGTGATGAACATGTGTTTCCCACGGCACACCAGCCTCCTTCTCATTGTGGTTTATACACATGGTCTTATCTCTTCCGCTAGACTGAGAGCTCTCCAGGGACAGCAACTGTATCTGACGCATTCCTGAATTCCTAGTGTCTGGCTGCTGCTGTCATTCTCTGTTCCATGACAGGAGAGGACAGTGGCAGGAATCAAGGAGGTGATCACTGAATCCTCGTGAAAACACTGTCTTCCATAGGACTGACTGTGTCGACTGCAGTTAAGGGGCCCCCCGAGCCTCCCAAGATGGCTGCATCCCTGATAAATCAGCAGACACATGTGAAAGTCTCCAGCTCGTCTCTTGTGCCTGGGCTCCAATCACACTGACCCCCTTTGGTTTTTTTTCCTCACCATACTTCTTTTCACCACAGGGTCTTTGCACACTCTCTCTCTGCTTAGAAGGAATACTAGTGCCCTTCCTATCCACCTACAAAATCGTACTCATCCTTCAGATTCCCAGGCGGGGAAGCCTCTCCCAGTTCCCCAGCCCTATCCTCCCACCACACCCTGCATCCCCGCTCCAGAACACACACTGCAACGTGTGATTACATATTTAAAGATGAAGCTGTCTGATTCAGAACCACTCTAACAGTCCCCACGGGAAAGGACTTTATATATCCCCAGGGCTTTGGTACTCGCTACATGGTAACGACCAGTACATACAAACTGAAGGAACAAATCCAGGAATGAATGAACGAGAGGAGAAACGAACCAAACAGCCTCAAACAGACCCAGGCAGGCTGAGGTCGCTGGAGGAGCCCACGGCCTCAGAAAAGCCCTTCGAGAAGGCTGCCTCCCCTTCCCGCCTTCGCCTTCGACGACCAGCCCCTTTAGACCTCCAGGGCTGCAGACGTCAGTCGGGTCTGCATTAATGCCAGGCCGGGCATGGCAGAAGGCGAGCCTGTCGCAGGGGATGGGTGAGGGGATGCGAGTGGTCCCTTCCCTCAGACATCTACTCGGTCATGTCCTCCTCATCGGCCACCTCCTCCCACTCCAACCCCAGATCCCAGAATTTCAACCCGACAACAGCAGATGCCTCGCATCAAGCGCTGTGTGCCAGCCAGCGGCTACCACACCTCACCTCTGTGAGACCCTCTCCACTCCATGAGCTGGAGGCTGCTAATAACCCACTTTGCAGATGTTGGGCGATCGCTCCCAAAGCCACACAGCTCGGGGCTCATGGAGGGCGCTGGGGGACCCTCCTCTGCCTCCCGTCCGACGGCGCGCGCACTTACGTGGCCCGGGCCTCGCCGTGCCTGTCTGGTAACTGGACCTCCGCGCGACGCTCGCCTGACCCTCGTGCCACGAAGCAACCCGAGAGCTGCACCCCGGCTCCGGCGCCCCCGAAGCGAGAGCCCCACAGCAGCGATGAACGGTCTTCCGCGCCGGGACGGAAGTGCTCCCTCGGAGACAGGAAGTTCCGCCTCCCAGCCTGGCCTCACGGTCGCCCTAGAGCGCCACCTCCCGGGCAGAGTGAGAATGGGAGTGGAGGCGGCGCCTTGGACGGTGGAAACAAGCCCCATCAAGTCCCAACAGAGAAGGACAAGCTGTGATAGGTTCGAATCCCACTCTGCCTAACTGACTTCCTATTTCACAGGATTGCTGTGAGTATTAAATTAATTCACTCAACGAACACCTGCTGAGCACCTACGATGAGCCAGGCACTGTATTAGTAGGAATCCTACTAGGAATCCTGTATTAGTCAGCCTAGGAATCCTAGGCTATAATTGTGCTGATAGCCTCTGAAGCGGGCTTTAAAAATAAGCATACAGGTCCCCGTGGGAGTGCATGAGGCTTTCCTGTGGCCAGGGAAATACAGTTTTAGGCAATGGTTCTCCAGTTCCAGCGTGCATCGCCATCACCTGGAAGGCGTGTAAAAAGAGTTTCTGATTCAGTGAGTCTGGGGTGGAGCCTGATAATCTGCGCGCCTAAGTTCCCAGGTGATGCTGATTCTGCTTGTCTGGGGTCCAAACTTTAAGAACCACTGTGCAATCATAAATCTTACCATTATCCTAACCCAGGAGTTCTCAGACTTGAACGTGCATCAGAATCCCCTGGAGAGCTTGTTAAAACAGTTCGCTGGGTCCCAGCCCCAGTTTCTGGTTCAGTAGATCTGGGAGGTGATCCGAGAATCTGCGTTTCTAGTGAGTTCCCAGGTGATGCTGCTGCTGCTGGTCCAGGGACCACACTTTGAGAACCATTACTTTAAAGAATCAGTTTCCAAATTCTCAGCTTCCATCCATATAGTTTTCATCTGGGAGGTGCTTTGAATCGGATGGTTCTCCTTTAGCATCTCCTTTCTCACAATCGCTTTTTTCCCCACTGTGGAGTACTGCCTGAGAGGGATGCTGAACAAGGGGGCGATTCCAAAAAGCAAAGTTCCTGCAGGAGAGAGTACCTCAAAAACTAAGAAAAGCAGGTTCAATCAGAAGTCATGATACACGGCTGCAGGAGGGGACATTTTGGGACTGATAATATTATGTTTCTTCATCCCAGTGCTGGTTACATGGGTGTGTTCAGTGTATGAAAATTCATCAAATGATCTGTATGCTTTTCGGTATGGATGTAATATTTCAATAAAGAGTCTTTTAAAAAAGAACAGGAAAAAAAGGAGAAAATACTACTGGCTGTGACACTCTGTCTCATGGAGACTTCAAGCTCTTGGTTAGGCTCCATGCCTTCTCAGCCATCTACCTCAGAAAGAGAATTCAGAAGTCCCTCTACAAGGACAGGAATTCTGTCTGTGTAGGTCACTGATGTTTCCCAAACAACTAGAAGAGTAGATGCTCAATAAATATTGAGTCAACGGAAGAGGAAATGAAATGACGTGGATCTTCTGAGAAAATAGCAACACGTTCATTTAGATTGAAAAAATGAAGTGAGACTTTCTGACAAGAAGTAATTCTGATTTAGCTGATAGGTCTGACCATGAGGGTAGGCTTTGCCAGTTAGGGCATATGGAGAGCATTTTTCATAAATGGAATAAGCTATGTATTCATCTCCATGGTTTTGGTGAAAATATATTGAAAGGATGATTATAATATATAATAAGTCTGAAATTATATCTTTTGTAACTACTTGAGCTTGTGATTAATTTGGGATACACAGTTTTTGAAAATTATTTTAGGATTATGTATGCAAAAAAATTGAAGACTATATTAGTTTCCCATTGCTGCTGTAACAAATTACCACAAACTTAGTGGCTTAGAAGAACACAATATTGAACAGTTCTGGAGGTCAGAAGCCTTAAATGGGTCTCACTGGGCTAAAATCAAGGTGTCAGTAGGGCTGCGTTCTTTTCTAGAAGCTCCAGGGGAGAATCCATTTCTTGGCCTTTTTCAGTTTCTGAAAGCTGCCTGTCTTCCTTGGCTGTGGCCCCCTTCCATCTTCAAAGCTAGCAATGGCAGTTGAGTCTTTCTCATGCTGCCATCTCTCTGATTCTGACTCCTCAGTCTCCCCCTACCCCATTTAAGGACACTTGTGATTACATTGGGCCCACGCAGGTAATCCAGGATAATCTCCGTGTCTTAAACTCAGCTGATTAGTCTGCAACCATAATGCCCCCTTCCCATACGATGTAACGTTCATAGGCTGTGGGGATCAGGACATGGACATCTTTGGGGACCATTATTTTTCCTACCACACCACTATTCCACATCACCCTTATGAGACACTCATCCAGCTTCTGGGTTGGGAGGCCAATTCCATGTCTTCCTTCCTTTCTTCCTTCTTTCCTTTCTCTAAACAAGCTCCTTGGTTTCCTCTCGTTACTGATGTATAGTTAACATGCAGTAAAAAGCGAAATTTAAGTGTATACCTCATTGAGTTTTCACATACATATAAACCCACATAACCACCACCTGGATCAAGACAGAGACACTTCCATCACTCCAGAAAATCTCCTGGTGCCACTTCCCAGTCAATACCCGCTTCAGGAAGTAACCATGTTTCTGATTCATCACCATAGATTAATTTTGCTGGTTCGAGAATTTACATAAGTAAAATCATGCAGAAGACATTCTTTTTAGTCTTGCTTCTTTCACTCAACATGCCTACGAGATTCACCCATTTGGGGCACGTAACAGTATTTTGTTTCTTTTTATTATGTGTATGAATTATGTGTATGAATATATCACCATTTGTTCATGCAAGTTCCTGTTGTTGAGATTTCTGGGTTTGGCGATTCTGTTAAAGTCTCTTTGTGGATGTGTGCAGCCATCATTCCATTTCTGAACACCTGCTGTCCTTTCCCCTCCATCTCCCAGGCCTAATTCCATTCTCTGGCTGGCCTATGCATGAAAAAAACAGGATTCTTCTTCCTGATGCCAATGCTCAAAACATTTGAGAGGTTGAATTTACCCTGCCCGCTACACCTGCTCTTCCGGGTCAAAATTCCCGGTTTCCACCAATTGCTCCTCATATGCCCCAGTATCCACACTGCCACAATCCTGGTCAGCACAGTCAGACCCAAAGGTAGCAATCAGCAGCAGCAACAGCAACAAAGGCGACGAGTCTTACAGCCTGTGCACTGAGTATTGGTCGTTATCCTGTGTCCTAGCTCCTACAAGACTCAGTTCTGTTTTCAGCCCCCTTTGAGCAATTGTGCTGCATCATAGCAGGCCATATGTAAACTGTCTTCATCCCTAACTTCATCATATTTTTGTTATTTCTCCTTCATCCCTAGTCCCTCATCTTAAAGAATTGCTGTCTTGTGGTATTGTTACTCAAAATCCTTTCTGGACAAAAAAGGGGGGGGGGGGGGCGGCAGGGTGCTAAATGGCTAACTTTGGCTAGAGAGCACTTCCGGCTGGCTTCAGAAAGGCTACAGCGAACCTTTTGTAAAGGTAGATCCTAAAGGTTCTGTCGGGCTGCTACATTTGAGAACACCTTCATTTATCAGATGAGGCCCCCCAGGCTCAAGCTGCTAGGGGCGGGCTGGCCTGATGGGGTGTGGTTTGGGGCATCCTAGGACAGGAGCAAAGATGAAGCGCTGGACTCGGGCCCTCAAACCCCGTTCCCTGGCCTTCGCTTGCCTAGGGCAGAGAACAGACAAACCGGACCAACCGCGTCCCTCCCCCAAACCCCATCGCTAAGCCCCGCCCCGGAAGTGGGATGTTGGCCAGGTGACTGCACTATCCACAGCCGGGCTGCTGCCGCCACAAAGACCGTCCTTCCCATTGGCTGGGCGCACTGTCTGCCACAGCTCTGCGGGCTCTCATTGATCAGCGGGGAGGTGGGGCCTAGCTCGCCGTGTGCTGTCTGCCTTGCCGCGTGCTCCTCACGCGGAGCCAGCCGGGCGTGTAAAAGGGCGCCGCGGCGCCAGAACCGGCACCCCGTCCCTGGCGTCCGGCCATGGCTTCAGCAGCCGGCGTGGTCACCAGCTCGGAGGACAGCGGCCGCAGGAAACCCCGCCTGGCGGCGTCGCTGCAGATCAGCCCCGGGCCCAGCTCCAGGAGGCCCCCCGCCAGCCTGGGCCGAGAGCCCTGGGAGCCCGTGCTCGCCCCCAGCGCGGAGGACGATGAGGGGGACGGGCAGTCCCAGGCCTCGGCTGGGGACGGTGGGCCCTGGGCGGGGGCCGGAGTCAAGGAACTGGGGACAGCCCGGGCTTGGGACGGCTTGGGGGGCCGGATGAGGAGGTCCCCGAAGGTCTCTGTCCCACCCCGCAGGGCCCGCCAGGGACTTCCCAACGGCAGCTGGACAGCTGAGCCTGCAGCTCAAAGACCCCCCGCCGGGCCAGGCTGTGGCGGTGCTCGAGCAGTATACGGCCGGCCTGGGCGTCTCCCTGACCTTCCGAGAGGACCAGACGGCAGGTGAGCCCCGGGGCCTGGGGCGGTGGCGCCCCCCGGCTGCCCCAGACGAAGCACCGGGGCTGGGAGCTGGGCCGGAGCCGGGCCCGAGGCGGACCTCGCTGTGAGCAGGTGGGGCTACGCCAGACCTCCAAGAGGCAGGTCACAGCAGGGTGAACAACATCCCCATCTGATACCCCAAAGCGACCCAGCCTTTCAGCTTGCCTTTTTGGAGGGCCAGTTACATGCAATTACAGTTGCCCTGCCAGCATTGGAGATACTTGGGGACCAGCCGGTGACTTGAAGACGTTATCAAAGCCGTTTGCTAATGGCAACACTGCCTAGAGATGTAATCACGTCCTTTCCTCTTTCTCGGTGCACCCTGCCCCCACCCCGGACTGGACAGACACAGACACACACAGCAACACCCCAGGTCCTCAATTCAGGTTCCCAACCTTCAGCCAGCACTTTTCCGGTTTCTAAGGAGATAGGGAGAGAAGCATCCCTCAGGCTGTCGGGAGCCTTTGTAAAGCTACCTGAGAGAACCCCTAATGAATGGCTGAAAAAGAGAGAGTGTATTAAATGTGTGCCTGGGATTCCTGTTAATCAGGGGCGGTGAGACAGCAGGCTCGGAAATGATTGTCGTGAAGGAAAAAGTAAATACTCGCGGATCCCTAGAAACAGGAGGCACAGCTCGCCACACAGGGCCCCACGAGAAAGGACCAGGGTGGTCAGGAGGTAGAAGGGGAGCGGGGAGAGCCCAGCCCAGAGCCTTTATTGGGGTTTCTCAGGAAGGAATGGTTGAGGCAGGCTGAGTAAGTTACAGGGTTGAGTAAGGCAAGACCCTGAGGATGTTTTGGGGTCATAGGGGTGGGTCCTAGTTGTCTGGTACCTGGCCCTGGGGTGGTTTAGGGTCTGGAGGATGTTGGCTCATGTGAGAGTTTGGCAGTTGGGGACTGAGTTCTGGATTGGTTGGTTTCCACATCAAGGCGCACTTGCAGGGGAGTCGTCTGCTGTCTCCAGGAATTAGCCCTGGGAGGAGCCTTCTCTCCAGGATCAAGGCCCCAAAAGCCTGCGCATCAGGAATACAGAAGATAAGGAAATAGAGTCAATGCAGATGATAATAGCTAACATTCATGAGTTCTGGATGACAGGCCAGGCGCTGTCTGCAGGGCTTCAGGCACATTAACTCACCGAGTCTTCACAAGTGTTCCTTAAGGACATGTACAGTACTGTCACCACCATTTTACAGACGGGAAGACTGAGGCCAGAGAGGCCGCAGCTGTGTGGCACAGTGTGAACCCCGGCGGTCTGGCTTCAGAGCCTGAGCTAACCCGCTGGGTTACACTGCCCCTCCCTTCTGCTTACCATTCCCCTTTTTGTTGTTTACATGGGTAGATGTGGTTTTTAGTCGTTTCTTTTTGTTTTTTTATTTTGATGAAATTTCAAAGACTAGTGTGAAAGAACTCCCATGAACTCTCCACTCAGATTCTCCAGGTAACATTTGCCACATTTGCTGTGTGTTTGTGTGTCTCTCTCCCCTCTATATATCTATTTATGTAAAAATATCTAGATTAAGTTTTCCTGAACAATCTGGAAGTTAATTCACCCCTTAAGCACGTCTATGTGTAATTCCTAAGAACAAGGACATTGTCTTATGTAACTATAGTACAGTGATCAAATTTTGGAAATTTAACATTGATGTAATGTTATTACCCCATTACCATTCACATTCAAATTTTGCCACTTGTCCCAGTAATGGCCATTTTTTCTAACCCAGCGTGACCGATGGCATTAGGCTGCTGTGCCTCTTAATCTCCTTCTGTCTGAAACACTGCCCAGGTCTCTGCTTGTCTTCAGGATGGTGATGTTCTCGAGGAGGAAAGGCCGGTGGTTTTGTAGACTGTCCTTGCATTTGGGTTTGTCTGTTTCCTCAGGAGGGTTCAGGTTGTGCGTTAGGCAGGAGCGCCTGTGGTGACCCGTGTCCTTGGCCGGACGTCCCGCCAGGAGGACTGGGATCTGTGTGTCCTACCACTGGGGATGTGAGCTGGGAGGACTGACTAGGGTGGCGTCCGCCAGGTGTCTTTGCTTCCCCTTAGTGCTTTGTCAGTCATCCAAGGGGAGCATCTGGAGATGGTGTGACTGTCCTGTTTGCCATGACACTGTAGCATCCTTTGATGG